GCCTTTTCATCCTCATTTGCCCTACTGTTTGCCATTGGTAAACTGGAAGTCTGTCCTTGTGCTTTGCTTAAGTGTTTTCTCATTTTTATTTTTGTTGTCGGACTGTCATTGGTTTAATCTCTGGATTATCACCCAAATCTTCCTGATATAGTTGTGCCCTAGCTTCTGTGTCTCTAACGACCCACAGACATTCTCATCTTTATAACATCAGAGAAAACAGCTCATCAAATCAATGGCAATGCTTTACCCCAACTGATACAATCAGCGACACCTTAAAATCAAGCACAACTTGGACACTGACCTCCTGTGGTAGTCACTAGTCTATCACCCTTAAATCATTTGAATTAAATTGAAATCAAGAAGAAGTAAAGAACATGTCTGCAGTGAACAAAATTTCAATATAGTGTATTTACCATTTAATGGCTCAGACAGAGCGAGGATGCAAGACTCCTGATCTCAGTTAGCTGATGGCTAAACTCCATGAGGCTGACTGACCTTGGGCTGCAAGGCCCAGATTGAGTTCCCTAACCTTCTGAATGGTTGAACTCCAGCCTGGGCTAGATAACTAACAAGCAACAAGTAACCATACATATTTTTTATAACAAAACATTTATTGGTACATTTTATGCATACATAATAATAACACTCATCGCAGGGAATTTGCACTGGTACATGGTACATCCCACCTCTTTTTTTCCATTCCCCCCTCCCCTCAAGTCCCTTCTCCTCCTTACATACATATCTTTTTATTTTTTATTTTTTTGAGGCAGGGTCTCACTGTAGTTGAGACTGACCTGGAATTCACTATGTAGCCCAGGCTGGTCTCGAACTCACAGCAATCCGCCTGCCTCAGCCTCCTGAGTGCTGGGATTATAGGCGTGCACCACCACGCCTGGCCATACATATTTTTTTTAATATAAACTACTTTCACAAGCTTTTCCTTGACATATATAAGCTTTTTAGTCTTGTCGTTTGCTGGAAGCCAGCTTTACACCATGCTGAGCAGGGTATAAAATAAGATTGAATTGGCTTATGAGTTAGCTACTGATTACATTGTAAGTCTATGCCTACATGACTTGCTAGATGAGCCTTTGGATGGCATGCAGAAACAGAGCTTCCTATGCCAATGGTCAGAGTTGAGGCTTCAATGGTCAGTGACACCATGGTGCCTCTGATAGCTAGATGACACTGCAGCTGAGCACTTCATGACTCTTAGTGGCCATTCTCCCAGAACAAACCTTAGCTAAAGAAAACACAAATTACTTGTTAATCATGACCTGTCTTTGGCAACAATGTGTTGCTCTCCTTTTACAAGGCTAGCTCTTGTCAGTGCCTTAGCCAGCTGTTTCCTGTATTTGCCTTTTTGCTCCCCTACAGTGTTGTGTAATCAATAAATACTGGTAAGTCTGGAGCCTCATAATCTTAGCCTGATAAAACCTCTGACTGTCCCAGCCCCCTTTCTTTTTTTTCTGGTACCAGGGACTGAACTCAGGAACTTGTGCTTGCCAGGCAGGCATGACACCACTGAGCTACATCCCCAGCACCACCACCACCCCAGTTTATACCGTCAAATCTTTGTCTTATTCTTATCCTCGCCATATCCTCAGTCAGGTTGTGCAGCCTCCAATAGTCACTATCTTTTTTTCTCTCCAGCAGGACAAAACTTTTATCATATGAAATCTTCTCATCAAAAGTATATCTCTTGGCCGGGGATTTAGCTCAGTGGTTCTGCTGCCTGCCTTGCAAGCATAAGGACCCAAGTTTGAACCCCAGTACCAAAAAAAAAAAAAAAAAGAAAGTATATCTCTCTATTTGTAGCCATCTTAATATATTTTTCATCTTACTTACTATAAACCTTCTATGAAAAGCTTGGCTACAGCTGCTTGGATTTTAAAGTGTCATTTTCCCCTTTTTTCCCTCCTGTTCTCAAAGTGTAAATTTTAAATTTCACTGGCTGCCAACAAACCCCCAAGTAACCTTAAATCAGTGTTCTTGCTTTAAACTGAGGGCAATGAGCAAGTTAACTGTAATTACAACTTAAGCATTTGCAATGTTGGGGTGGGGATTTAGCTCAGTGGTTCCGCCGCCACCTGCCACACAAGTGTAGGATCCAAGTTTGATCCCCAATACAAAAAAAAAAAAAAAA